TGCGAGTCTGGATTGGAACACGACTCAGATTACAATCCAAATTTGTCGCGACAATCAAAAAAGAAAAAAAGAAACAAAACAAAGTCGCAAACTAGCCGCAAGTTATTTTCGAAAGATTTACACGGATCAACAACGGAAACGTGTGAGTCTGAATTGGAATACGACTCAGATTACAATCCAAATTTGTCCCGACAATCAAAAAAGGAAAAAGGAAGCAAATTAAAGTCGCAAACTAGCCGCAAGCTATTTTCGAAAGATTTACACGGATCAACAACGGAAACGTGCGAGTCTGAATTAGAATACGACTCAGATTACAATCAAAATTTGTCCCGACAATCAAAAAAGGAAAAAAGAAGCAAATTAAAGTCGCAGACTAGTCGCAGGTTATTTACGAAAGATTTACACGGTTCAACAACGGAAACGTGCGAGTCTGGATTGGAATACGACTCAGATTACAATCCAAATTTGTCCCAACAATCAAAAAAGAAAAAAAGAAGCAAATCAAAGTCGCAAACTAGCCGCAGGTTTCATTTTTCCAACGTCTCTTTTTTTCTCTCAAAAGTTTCACGGAGTGACAATAATTTTTCACGAATTTATTAACCTAAATTAGGGAGTCAAAATCGTTAACAGCTAGTTTTTAAGCAGCTTTCTAAAAAGGAGCCATTGATAATCTTGCTACCATTTGGCTTACTTATGCATGGTTGGCCTCTTGTAGAGCAATTCGAACACGAAAGAAATTTCAGTCTTGATTCTAATAAGCAATCGTTTTTAGCGGAATATCGCTTCAAAATGACCGAAGCTGGCATCGGTTCCATTGTTGCTATAACCGCAGCTGTATCTCCTGTTGTTCTGTCTGCACTTTGTTGCTAATGATCTCAACTAGTCTTGATCATTTCATCTTTCCTCCGCAGTGAACTGTTGCATTCTATTAACTGTTCATGCGCTCCTTCAGAACTCAGCTTGTTATGAAAAAAGTTTACACTATCCGTGTCTCTGAATGAGGCGCCAAAATTGATGCATTTGAACAATTATGGTGCCAAAGTGGTTGTCCAGTGCAGTTCACTTCTGCAGAAGGACACACTGTGCGTATTTTTTATGAAAATTGCTAGCTGCTGAAGGGCCGTAAATAGCCTGAGATGAGCTATAGTCAATTTATCCAGAGGTCAGTAGAAAGAATACTTGTCTCACAAGTGCTTATACACCAAATTCCCTCTCGATAGTTAACTAAGTAACAATCCTCAAGTTAAGTCCTTAGTGGTCAATTTCTCTGTAATTTAAAAACCCAGAATAAAAGAGTACTTTTCTAACGTGTTGTTCCAAAGAACAATAGAATAAACCATCGCAATTTTGCAAAAATGTTTTTTGTTTCTTTAAAAGAAAATTCTCTTTACGTTATTCGACATAATTTTTCAGAGCGCATGGAGTACCTGCTTCAGTGAATGATTCTCTTTTGAAATCTCAACACCGGCGTGACGAAAAAAAAGCACTGGAACGCATTCGAATGCGCAAAATTAATGATGCATATGATAGGCTCCGAGGGCTAATACCTGTAAGGCCAGAGGCTAAACAGAAATTTTCAAAACTTGAAACCCTGTTGTTTGCAAGGTTTGTTTTTCAGCTCCAAAAAATTCTGTTACGTTTGTCGATATCTCTTGAAATTATTTAAAATGTTTACAGTGGTTATTCAGGACCAACAGTTTGGTAGCGCAAGCAGAAATTCGTCCGTAACGAAAACGCAGTTCTCAGGAAGAACTTTTTTTGTATTAATGAGTTTAGCTATAATTCGAAAAAATGGGGCACAGACGACTTCGCTTCAGGATGCCGACTTCATTTCAAGCCCATTTCGAATCTGAATTGCTTTTGTTTCAGGGACTACATCGAGGCACTAAACAAAACACTGCACAATGAACCTCGATCAGCCACTGCACTAAACTCCGGCGAATCGCACATCAACAAACGCGGTCTTAAACGTAAACTTGATGACCCGTTTATCAGAGCATTGAACTCTCGCACACGGCAAGAAACAACAACAGAGTTAACGCACCGGCAATGAAATTTCGCTTGCTACTGTTGCAACATTACAGTAATCTTTTCTCACTGTCTACTGCAATTTTCACCGATTACATTTTTTCAGTCACAGTTATCATCACTTATCATCTACTGTAGACTTCGCCGACTGCAGTTGTACCGTCTCAGTAATGACCAGTTATTGGCTACAGTAATACTCTGATTGATATGCAAATGTTTCCTCTCAAGTGACGAATAAATTTCTCTTCTTTCAGCTTTATGTTTCAATCACTACCTGCTACGGAATGCACAGGCTCAAATCACATATAAAATCGGGCTTATGTTCCTTGTTTTCTTTTTCGCCACTGCTTCCATTATCTAGACGCATTATTTTGTACGGAAGTCGTCCAAATCAAGTCAACTAATCTTCATATAATAAAAATTGGCTCGATGTATCTGCCCAGGAAATACATAGAAACTTCACAATCATTTTATAGGAGCTGCCCAGGTAAATTTGTCACAGACTAGCGAGAGGATCTGTGCGATCATAGATATGAAATTCCAGTTACTGGATGCGGAATAAGCCGATTTGCTCTGATCTTTCATTTGGAGAAGACCTTGCACTGATCCAGGGTACAACATTGCCAGCAAATCCTTAAAATTTGTCCAAAGATCGCACATGGATAGCTGCAATTGAAAACAGCAAAAATTTCTCGTCTCAAGACTTTAGTTAAAATCGTCACGAGCTAACCATGCTTTGTTTTGAAAATCAGTATAAAAAGATCAGGTGTGACGGAATTCGATGTGCATCTACTTCTCCAACATTAATAGTTTTCATACAGAGTTTCGGATAATCCACCAATGCATATGCCGCGATTTTACCACCCACATTTGTCACTTTGCCATTAAATCATTCGCGTTTGAGATCTTCTGAAGCATAATCAGAGTACTGATACTGTTTTATTAAAAAAACCCAGGCTGGAACGCATTAGGCGAGCCGGTGCGATCATGCGTTTTTGCATCAAACTTTGAGGTACTCCATCATTATTTCCCTG